TGCAAAGCCCATTGATCTGCTCTGCAATATACTCACAGTAAATGGAGATATTTGTCCAGATTCCCTGCTTTCCACTGATTTCCCCAAAAGACTTTTTAAAAAGAAAATAAAAACGTCACATTTAGCCATAAATGTAAGTTCAGTAGAAAAAAAATCACACAATGTTGAAGGAATAAAGTAAACCTCGGAGAAGTCTCTTCTTAACCCATCCCCAACAACTACCTATACCACAGAAACAATCAGTGTCAGAGCTTAAAGGATATAGTCCCATGTTCTCTATATAACATGCAAGTGCACATTTAACATACATGCATAGGCATGAAGCTTAATCTATTTGTTTGACTGTGTTCCCATGTACACATCAAAACTATATTAATGGTGATTTAGCGATGGGACTGCAATATTTTCTAATTTTTTTACAATGAGCATGTAGTATTTTATTAGCTGATAAAATAATTGTATCTTAAAGGAAACTCGGAACCAGAAGCTGCTAGGCAAGTTTCTAGAAGAATGTAAAAAATAAACACAGATAATGGGTGAACTTTTACAAGGAAAAGCTATAGTCTCAGATCATTGAAATTAAATAGCCCAAATTAAAAGGGAAGAAAAAAAGCATGATCAGAAAGTCTAGATCCATGTTTCATAGCCAAGAGAATGGTTCATGGTTTCCCATTTGAAGGAAAAACACAGTAAATTAACCTGCTGCCCCATCTGCCATGCAGGGACGCCAGGCTCTCAAGGAATATGTATACATGTAATTAGCTTGACATTGCATGTGACACTGTTGAAGGGAACAGGGACATTTTCAAAGGCTTAAATTTTGTTGTTCAAGATATTCTATTTGTATAAGGATAAAGTTGACTTTACGTCTGACATGTGAGATTTTTGAGCTGGCATTAACTTCAACAGATAAGCTCATCATCCAGATGAGGAAACAGCCTAAGAAATAAAGTGGTGTGGCCTGGTCACCAAGGGCCTAGTGCATGGCAGCTAGGAATCAGAAGCAGAGAAGTTGACACATCCTGGTTCCTGGAACTGAACTGCCTCCAGTTCTCAGAGAAACAGAATAAGGAAAAGCTTAACCATGCCAGATGAGCAAAGACATCATCTACCTACGGTTCCCTCTACTCCCTCACTGGCCAGTCCCATGACTCAGGGCTTGGAGCTGAAAATGTCATCTAAAGGAACATGCAAAGCCTTGCTATTACTACAGGTAGGTGGCATTCGGCCATAACCTAGCTGAAGGGGGAAGTGACAGGGGCAGCCTGTCTCAAGGGGACTGGAAAGAAATGCATGAGGCTGGGATTTTAATTAGTCCAAATGACCTTCTGCAGGAACAGCCTTCTGGAGTCAAGATTTGACTTGATATGTGAAAGTGCATGTGATCTTCTTCCAATCTCTAAGGGAGTCAGGCAAGAACAGCTGCCATTCAGCAAGAGAAAAATAGTAAGGATGATATTTCTTAGTTAGAAAAATTAATGAAAAATGTCCTAAATATAGAAATAAAATTATCATCAAGTTGCTCCCTAACTTGTTGTGAGCTAAAGGTGAATTAGTTGAAAGTTTCCCAGGGAAATGGAAAGTACAGATGTACTCTCCAGGGTACAGGGCTTCATCGACAGCACAGAAAGGCCCCTGCTATACTTCCTGCAGTGAATGTCACAGCATACGCAAATTTTAAGCTAGGTTACTAAAAGAGGCAAATACATTTCTCTAAATGGTGAAAGCTGGCTAGATCCCACATATGAGAGGGGAACATACATGTTTTTTTCTTCCTTAGGTTGCATGACCTCACTTAAAACTCATGGAATACTACTCAGCAGAAAAAAAAAAAAATGGAATCTTGAAATTCGCAGGCAAATGGATGGAACTAGATGAAACTATTCTGAGCGAGGTAACCCAATCACAAAACAAGCATGGTATGTACTCACTCATTTGTGGATTTTAGACATAGAATAAAGGATTACCAGCCTACAATCCACACTGCCAGAGAAGCTAGTAAACAAAGAGGATCCTAAGAGAGACATACATGGTCCCCTGGAGAAGGGGAAAGGGACAAGATCTCCTGAGCAAATTGGGAGCATGGGGGAGGCGGGAGGGAGCTAGGAGAATGAGAGGGGGAGAAGGGGGTGAGGAGGACATAAGAGAGCAGAAAGGTTGAGTGAGGGGGAGAATAGAAGAAAACAAGAAAGGAAATACCATAATACAGGGAGACGTTTTAGACTTAAAGAGAAATCAAGCACTAGGGGAATGTCTGGAGATCTACAAAGATGACACCAACTAACAATCTAAGCAACAGAAGAGAGGCTACATTAAATGCCCTCCCCTGATAATGAGATTAATGACTGACTTATATGCCATCCTATAGCCTTCATCCAGCAGCTGGTAGAAGTAGACACAGACACCCACAGCTAAATCTTGAACTGAACTGAAATCCAGTTGCAGAGAAGGACAAGTGATGAGCAAAGGGGTCCAGACCAGGCTGGTGAAACCCACAGAAACAGCTGACCTGAACAAGGGAGAGATCTTGATCCCAAGACTGATATCTGGGAAACCAGCACAGGAATGATCCAGACCCTAGGAACGTCGGTGTAAGTAAGGAGACCTTGGAAATCTGTGGGGCCTCCTGTAGTAGATCAGTACTTATCCCTAGCAGAGGTGTAGACTTTGGGAGCCCATTCCATATAGAGGAATAGTCCCTGAGCCAAGACACACAGGGGGGGGCTTAGGCCCTATCCCAAAGGATATGATAGACTCTGATGGCCCCCTATGGAAGGCCTCACCCTCCCTGGGGAGCAGAAAGGGTATGGGATAGGTAGGGTTTTAGTTGGGGTTGGGATGGTAGGGGAGGAGGAGAGGGAACTGGGATTGATATGTAAAACAATCTTGTTTCTAATTCAAATAAAAAAAGAAAAAACTCATTATGCATTCTAAATCTACCTATTGTCCTGCAAATTTTGTGATGTTGTTTTTCTTTAAAGCTCAACTGCATTCATATATATATATATATGTGAGTGCATATATATATATATATATGTGAGTGCACATACTAAAATGTACATGTGCATGAGTGTAACATGTAGCAAAAACAAGAAAGGCTAATTAGGGGATTCCATAAGGCTAAATGCAGGCAATGTGAAGGGCCATAAAAGAGGACATAAAGAAAACGGATTTTCTAGTTTTAACTATGCCGAGGACTATTTGTTTGAGGTGGTAGATAAGTGTACAAAATCCGTTTGGGAGCAAAAGTCTAAACACCAGTGTGAAGCTCCACAGCTTCTGCTCCCAATGTCTACTTTAACTGTATAGAAGTCCACTGACAGCTACAATCTTTGGGTCTGGTTAGTTTTGGTGGGTAATTTTTTTTATTTGCAACTTGTTTATAATAAATGCTCAAATGAATTCTTAAATTGGTGAAACTTAATATTCAAAAGGACAAAAGGTCTTTAAGGATTGCAAAAACTCCCAGAAAGTGTTTAAACTGCTCCTATACCCTTTATATAGATAGACGTCACCTGGGGAACAGTCAAAATGATGTGGTCTTGTCTTTCACAATGGTGACAGAGGTTCATTCTTGAAATCAACAGATGTATCAAAAATGCTTAGCAAATGTCTGATTCTTCCCTAAGGGATTTTTCTCAACTCAGAGAAATGTATCTGAAACCTCCTTAAAATCTTCCTGCTACAGTAGAGCACTGGAGACCAGCACACAGGAGAACTCAGGTACAGCTGGCCTCTGCCCCTGCTGTCACCGACAAAGTTTTAAGTTCCACACTCCCAAGATAATAAATCACCAACCACACCAAAAAGCCAGCATGTATTAATAACAACAAAATGAATTAAACATTTCTACCTACTGATCACCAGGAAAGTCTTGACTTTCCAAGTGGGCATGAGGTTAACAAACTATCACCTGAGAATTTCTAAAGAGAAATCATCCCTGGGCTTTCTGGAAACTTCTGTAAGATGCATTGGTTAAAAGAAGCATCTGTGTTGTAAACAGTAAACATGAACATATCAGGAGCTGGTGCTCTTTCCACTTCTGGTTCTCCACATTTTGAAAATATGCCAACTATTATTACCTCCAATTGGTGTAAAAACATAATTACATTTGTGTGTTGATCCTCTAAAAAAGGCTCACAACACACAAAATATTTAAGCTTATATTTATTACACAATTCAACAAAAATGTAAATCTGAAAACAGTTAAATACTAGCAACCTATTTTGATCTTGGAATGAATGGTATTCATTGAGAATAGCGAATGATACAGAAACAACTGACCTGAACAAGGGGGAGCTCATGAACCCCAGACTTATAACTGGGAAACCAGCACAGGACCGATCCAGACCTCCTGAGCATGGGTGTCAGTGAGGAGGCCTCAGCAATCTATGGGGCCTCTGGTAGTAGATCAGTATTTATCCCTAGCATACAAATAGACTTTGGGAGCCCAACCCACATAAAGGGATGCTCTCCCAGCCTAAACACATGGGGAAGGGCCTAGGCCCTGCTCCAAATGATGACAGACTTTTAAGATCCCCCTTGGAAGGCCTCACCCTCCCTGGGGAGCAGAAAGGGAATGGGATAGGAAGTTAGTGGGGGAAGGGAGGAAGACAGAACTGAGATCGACATGTAAAATAATCTTGTTTCTAACATAAATTTAAAAAAATAGAAAAAACCAAAAGGATCTAAAAGCATTTAAAAAATTGAATAGGGATTAGATCTGTGCATCAAGCCAGTTTAGCAAATGCATTGTTACATTTTTTTTTCTTTCCACTAAGAGCCTCTTTAAGACATAAAATGGATTCAGTCTTACAACAGGAAATTAAGTAATTCACATATTCATACTATAGAATACCTACATATTTTTAAAGGGAGATGTACTCTCCAGCCAGCCTATTTTCCATAGAGAATTAACAGTAACTGTACTGAATGAAATCATCAAATTAAGTCCCCAAACTACAGTATCCCCCCACAAGCCATAAAAAATTGAACCAAACCTTTCTAATTTCTTTGGAGGCCTGGACAGATATTCATATACAAGTGCAAGCTTCTGGAATTTCAATCCTTTCTTTTTCCATAGTCCCTTCTTTTTCCTAGGGTATACAATGTAGGAAAATCCAGCTTTTCTTGATGCTTCAACAAGAGAAAAGGACAAGTATTTCAAACTGTCAGACTCTTTCAGAGTTTCCAAGCTGCTCTTGAAGGTGGGTTCAAGTGTGGCCCTTTGTCTGGCAAGCTGGTGCTCCAGCTCCTTCTTCTTCTGGTACCTCAGCTGTTTCAGGTTGGTGTCTATGTCATCCTTTAGTACAAATGGTGGGCTCTCTTCTTTCCTCAATTCAACAACAGACTTTGATCTCTTAATAAGAGAACAGAAGTGGAGACATTGGATCACTCGGGTTCTCACTCATTTCACGTGGAAACAATTCCCACCCGGGTAGAGAAGGAGGAAAGAGAAAGTGGGAAGGATCAGTTGGGAGGGGAAAAGAAGAAAATAATCGTGTTAATAAGAATTACTTCTTAAAGGAAGTCCACCCTCCCACCCAAAAAAGGAAAGGTGTTACGATTAATCTTTCCGCCAAAAGCCACCGAGCCCCACCTCCATGTGTGCCAGCTTTATGCCAGCCACCCTCCTGAGTTAGGGCCCAAATGAATACACAGCAACTTGTATTAGGTTCAAAGCTGCTTGGCCAATGACTAGGATTCTCATCTGTTAGCTCAGTCTTAATTATCATAAATCTATATATTTTATAAGACTTATCTTATCGGATGCCTTATTGGCGTCCCTCCTTGCCGGTGGCTCACATCCTGCTGCTGGAGGAAGCGAAGGGGAAAGAAGGACGCTTCCTGTTTCCTCGCTTAAATATGAGTCTCCTTGCTATGTCACTTGGGGCCTGGATCACCACTTATCTACTACATTTCCCAGAATCCTCTTTGACTCCTAGTACTGTCTAACTTGCTGCCATTGGCCAAACAGTATTTTATCAACAATCAATAAGATAAACATACACAGTACACTCCCCATCAGAAAGGAAAGAAGGTCCCGGGTTCAGGATTTGCTTTTCCCGTTCAAAAGCCCATGTTTCCTGAATGGGGGAGGCTGGGTGGTTTCCCAAGGGGGCAGAGGCTGGGATTGAGGCAACAGGGCAGGGTCCCAGGGGAGAGGAGACACCCACAAGTAATCACTGAACTGAACTGGAATCCAGTTGCAGAGAAGGACGAGTGATGAGCAAAGGGGTCCAGACCAGGCTGGTGAAACCCACAGAAACAGCTGACCTGAACAAGGGAGAGCTCTTGATCCCAAGACTGATATCTGGGAAACCAGCACAGGAATGATCCAGACCCTAGGAACGTCGGTGTAAGTGAGGAGACCTTGGAAATCTATGGGACCTCCTGTAGTAGATCAGTACTTATCCCTAGCATAGGTGTGGACTTTGGGAGCCCATTCCATGTAGAGGAATAGTCCCTGAGCCAAGACACACAGGGGTGGGCTTAGGCCCTATCCCAAAGGATATGATAGACTCTGATGGCCCCCTATGGAAGGCCTCACCCTCCCTGGGGAGCAGAAAGGGTATGAGATAAGTAGGGTGTTAGTTGGGAGTGGGATGGTAGGGGAGGAGGAGAGGGAGAGGGAATTGGGATTGACATGTAAAACAAACTTGCTTCTAATTCAAATTAAACATAAAAAATATGAAGTTGGGAGTGACATGTGTTAGGAGGGTCTGGATGTGTTAAAGGGGATAATGGGTGTGTATGATCACATTGTATACATATATGAAATTCTCAATAAATTTAAAATATTTTTAAAAGAGTTGGGAAAAAAGAAAACAGAAGTGGAATTGTATATAATCAATTGAGTTGTTCTGCACTTAAAATCAATAGAATCACAACTGCAATTAGTATGGTTAGGCTTAATTGAATAAAAATTAACAATATATTCTTAAAGGTGTCACTTGTATATAAAATTGAACAAAATAGCAGGTTTCATCATTGCAGTTTAATACATGTGTATAATGTACTTTGACCACATTCATCCCCATCCTTATCCCTTCCTCTTCCCAAAAAGTCTCCCTTCTATTTCCAGTCTCTTTTTTTTTTTTTTTCTGGTTTTTCGAGACAGGGTTTCTCTGTGTAGCTTTGGAGCCTATCCTGGCACTCACTCTGTAGACCAGGCTGGCCTCGAATTCACAGAGATCTGCCTGCCTCTGCCTCCCGAGTCCTAGGATTAAACGTGTGTGCCACCAAAGCCCGGCTCCATGTCTCTTAAAAATCTAGATCTACATATGAGAGAAAAATACAATGTTCACCTTTCTTCATAGGACCTGTTTCACAGCATATGGTGATCTCCAGCTTACAGCCACTCCCCCACAAAGGACGAAATTCCAACCTCCTTTATTCTGCACACACTCACTTATCTACTGGTGGCATCTAGACTGATGATAATGTGTCTGTTGTGAACAGAGTTCCAATAACCATGGGTATGCAGACAGGCTTATTGTATACTGACTTAGATTCATTCAGGACTATACATGAAAGCAATTAAGCTGGCTAATGTGGTAGCTCTGTTTTTAGTCTCCTGACTAATCTCTGTTGACTTTCCACCACAGCTACACTGATTTATAATCCCACTAGTAGTATGCATAGGATTCCCTTTGCCCATGCCCTGCCCAATGCTTGTTGTCATTTGTTTTCTTGATTATGGTCATACTGATTGTGATGAGACAAAGTGTCAGTGTAGCTTTGCTTTGCCCTTACCTGGTGGCTAAAAATGGTAGACCTTTTCCCATGTATTTATCAGCCATTTTGACTTCAGATCTTGAAAACTGTTTACTTCATTTGCCCATTTAATGATTGGATTCTTCTGTTTGTTTTTGTGGTTGCTGTTCTTCCTACACTCTGGATATTAACTTCTATCACACAAATATCTGCAAAGATTTTTTTCCACATTTTGTAGGTTGTCCCTCCACTCTGCTAATAGTTTCCTTCTGGAACAGATTTTTTTTTTATTTCATACAATCTCACTTGTCAGTTCTTACTCAGGAAATATTTCCTGAGCTACCGGGGACCTATTCAGAGAGTTGTTGCTCATGCCAATATCTTAGAGTGTTTTTTGTCAATAATTTCAAAGTCCCATGTCTTACATTAAGATACATGATGTAGTCTGAATTGCCTTTAAGATATAAGGATCTAGTTTTATCCTTCTATTTGTGAGTATCCAGTTTTCCCAGAGCCACTTGTTAGAGACTGGTTTTTGTAACATATGCTTTTCGCACTTGCTGAGAACCTGATGACTGTGGCCTTATGAGTTCTCCACTTTATTATGCTACCTTTTTGTCTCTCTTGTGCTATTACCCTGCTATCTTTAGTATCATGGCTATGCTATCATCTTAAAGCAGGGACTGTGGTACTTCTAGCTTTGCCCTTTGTGCTCAGAACTGATTTGGCTGGTCAGTTTTTTGCTTTTACACAGGGTTTTTTTTTTCATTTCTTTAAAGAATTTCATGGGAATTTTGATGCTCATTGCAATGAACTTATAGATAACTTTTGGTAACATAGCCATATTCATAATATTAGCTCTGCCAGCCATGAACACAGGAAATATTTCCATCTTCTAGCATCTTCAAACTATTTCTCCAGTGTTTTATAGGCTTCATTATAAAGATTTTCCACTTCCTTTGTTAGATTTTGTGCTAGGTTGGTATTTATCAACTCAACACAAACCTAGATATATCTGGGAAGAGAGAATCTTAATTGAGAAAGTGCCTCCATCAGATTGGCCTATGGTCAATCCTATGTTGCGTTTTCTCGATCAGTTATTAATATGGGGGGATAGCTCACTGTGAGTGGTACCACCCCTGGGTAGGTGGTCCTGGATGGTTAAAGAAAGTGGGTGAACATGCCATGAGGAACAAGGCAGTAAACAGCATAACTCCATGGCTTCTGCTTCAGCTCCTGCCTCCAGGCTTCTGCCTTGAGAGCAGTCCTAATTCCCCCAGTAGTGGAGTGTGACCTGAGAGATGTAAGATGAAATGAACCTTTTCCTCCCCAAGTTCCTTTTACTTTTGGGCTTTGTCACAGCAGTAGAACTCCTAACTAAAATACATTTATTTCTATGTTTCAGTTTCCCTGTTGCCTTTCTATTGTCATGCTTTTTCTTCTCCTTTGTAGCTAAAGCAAATGGTATTGTTTTCCTTCCCTGTTGCTTTTTTAGGATGTTCACTATTGATAGGTGTAAACAACTAATGACTTTTGTCTGCTAATAGTGTGCCCTACTATTTTGTACTTATTAGGCCTAAGTTTCCTGGTGTGGACTTTACATTCTTTTAGATAAAGGATCACAGTGAATAGGGATTAATTTGTCATCTTTCCCATTTGTAATCCTTTCATTTCACTTTTCTTATTGCTAACTGAGACTCCTAGCACTGTATTGAACAAGAGTACAAATAGCGGGCACACATGCATCATTCTTGATTGTAGAGAAAATTCTTTCAGTTTTTTCCCAGTTAGTGTAATGTTTTCCCAGTAATGTTGGCTACAGGTTTGTCCATAGATAACATAATTGCACTGAAGGTTGTTCCTTCGGTTTCTAGTTTCTTTGGGGATTTAATCATAAGGAATACTTTTTTGTTACCTATTTTGGCATGGTTGTGTGATTTCTACCTCTGACTCTACTTATGTGCTGTATTACATTTATTGATTTGCATGCCAAACCACAAATTTGCATCACTAGAATGAAAACAACTTGATGTTTTCCTAATGTATGGGCTTTTAATTCTTCACACGTATTTATTTTCTATGTGCATGCTATCACACATGTGTGACCATCACAGGACAATTTATGGGAGTTGGTTTCTTCTTTCCATCATAGGGGAGTTAGGGATCAAACTCACATTATCAGGCTTAGTGGTAACAACCCTTACCTGCTGAGCCACCTCACTAGCCATATCCTTGATGTGCTAATGATACGGTATACAAGCTAAATTTCATTGAGGATTTTTGTGTTTAAGTTTACCAAAGAAAATGGCATGGATTTTGGCAGTGATGGTGGTTATTTTCTGGGGTTTGGTATCAAAGTAATTATGGCTTTACAGAATAAATTTGGTTGAGCTCCTTCCCTTTTCATTTTATAGAATAATTTGAGGCTTTCCATTCTTGAGTTCTTTAAATGTCTATTAATGTTCTTAACGTTTATTCTTAAAAATCCATTTATGAAGCTAACAGTAGCTTAAAGCAAAGTCCAATAATTTGGTTGGTTTTCATATAAACACTGTAAATTAAAAGTACTATGTAGATCCTTGGATGACCCCAACTAACAATGTAAGCAACAGTAGAGAGGCTATCTTAAATGCCCTTCTCTGATTGAGATTGATGAGATTGATGACTACCTTATATGCCATTCTTAAGCCTTCATCCAGTAGCTGATGGAAACAGAAGCAGAGATCCACAGCTAAACACTGAGCTGAACTCTGGAATCCAGTTGCAGAGGAGGAGTGATGAGCAAAGGGGTCAAGACCAGGCTGGTAAAACCCACAGAAACAGCTGACCTGAACCACACGGAGCTCATGGTCCCCAGACTGATAGCTGGGAAACCAGCATAGGACTTTTCCAGAGCCCCTGAACATGGCTGTCAGTTTGGAGGTCTGGGTAATCTTTGGGGTCTCTGGTAGTGAATCAGTATTTATTCCTAGTACACGAATGGACTTTGGGAGCCCATTCCACACAGAGGGTTACTCTCTCAGCCTACACACATGGGGAGGGTTCTAGACCCTACTCCAAATGCTATGACAGACTTTTAAAATCCCTCATGGAAGGCCTCATCCTCCCTGGGAAGCCGAAAGGGGATGGCATAAGGGGTCGGTGGGGGCAGGGGAGGAGGAGAGGGAGAGGGAACTGGGATTGACATGGAAAACAATCTTGTTTCTAATTTAAAGAAAAAATAGTATGTAAATTAAAACATACTATATAAATTGCCTTATTTTATAAAATTAATTTGTGAGTCTATTTTTAAAATCACTTTAACAACATTGTGTTACACTATTACTAACATATACTCTATAATAACTTTCCATTCAATATTTGTAACTTTAAATGACAAAATTCATCCTATTATATTATCTGATAATTAACCTAATTTTAGCATTAATATACTAACATATAATTATAAGTGACTTGCAGTGGCTATACATTAATCATTATAACTTTATAATAACATCACTAATAAAAGAAATTTTATTTTAAACTCTTTAGTGTAGCATTTTCTACCTATTGCCTGTCTGTCTCCCCGGGCTGGATAATACTCTGCATTTATTTACACTGGTTCTGGGAATTGAACTAAAGTCCTTGCACTTTACCAACTGAACTTTTGGACTATCTCACTGAGATGGTGTGTGTGTGTGTGTGTGTGTGTGTGTGTGTGTGTATTTTCACACCAATATGTATGAATTTAGGCCAAAAATCCACAAGCAAGAATTTCACAAAAGCTATTTGTGTATTTGAAATGTACCCACACCCATGGAGATAGTGACCCTGCATTATTTATTATACTCCCTATCTCATGAAACTATAATTAACACAAAGTATAATAATAAGAAATACTTTAACTGTTCAAACTTTGGGAAAGAACATAACATTATTTTTATTGCTAGAAATACAAACATATTTAGAATATAAAAGCCAAAATTTTATAATACCTTTAACCATGTATGTGGTGCACTGGGATATTCTTGGATATTCCCACATGATGCAGACTTTTTTATTAGAAAATTCTGTAAAATAATCAAATAAAAACATATTAACCATAGTTACTGTTCAGAAATCTAAGGTGTCATATAACAGTTGAGTGATGATAATTTTTGTAAAGTGATGAAAAACACAAATTCTAATTAAAATATACCTTTTTATTTATTAAGTCATTTCCTTAATAGAGAAGAGCAGGACTTAAGCCTTGTCACTTCATTTAGTCATTTTCATAGAAATGAACATTGCTAATTTTTAATTTAAGCTTGAGATAACAAAAATCAAGAACCCATGATGTGAAGGTACTCTGGGGTAAAGCCTCCTTGCTGGTGTAAATGGCACTGATTTGTGTATGTTCCACAGGTGTGCTGACACATGAGGCTACGTTAGTCAGACCTGGGAAAGACTCTTGCCCCTGGACAATCCCCTTTTCCTCCTTTTCTAATCTTTCAGAATTTTACACATGCATATAATGTGTTTGACCTAAGCCACCCCAACTCCCTTCCCTATGACTCTTCCCTATGCCATCTACCACTTTTCCTTCCCAACTTCATGTGCTCCATTTTCTTTAAATCAACGGAGTCTGCTTAGGGCCATCTACTGAAACACAGACAGCCTTTGATGTCATACATCCCTGAAGCGAATCAACCCTCCTCCCACAACAGTCGTCAATTGTCAATTACTCCTCAGCTGTGGGTGGAATCTCGGAAGCCCGTTCACACTCCATACTAGTATTTTGTCTTGCTTAATCTTTTGCAAGTCATGAAAGCCGTTTTAAGAATAAGAAACCTCAACCTTTCACTTCAGGCTAGGGGACCACATAAGCATCACCACTATAATGTCACCAAGAGGGGTGCTATCACAGTTAGAGTAAGAAAGCCCTGTCACAGTAGAGTAGAAACCAAGTGTGATGGATGTTCCTAGACAAATAAAAAGCAGTATCTATAATCCAAAACAATGCTGTCAATTACCGTAAAGAGTGTACGATTCAGGTACAAAGAGAACAGGGCGAGGTCAGCTCTGAATAGGTAAGAAACTGGATATATCACAGCTGCTGTGTGCTGAGGGAAAAGGATTTCCACAGACTGCAAAGATCTTGAGAACATCCCAGGCCATGTGAGCAGTGCTCAACAAACACAAAGATTGCCAGCAATTTTAGTTCACAAGGATTCTAGCAGAGGCAGAGTGTAGGTACATGGGTGTTAGATAGACGTAGAAACATACAGATAATACATAATTGAGACCAGGCTATGAGGTTTGGCTAACACTCTGGATACTTTTTATGTGGTAGGCTGAGACACAGCTGTGTCTGCTCAGACATCAGTGACATAATCATACCTGTGTCCTCCAATGGGTGAAAAGCTGCAGCTACTAAGAGACCCTATGACAGGAAAGTATGAGAGGTGCCACTGCCACAAATTCTAGAAAATGAAAGTGTTTTCCAACCCAGAAAGTGTCTAATTAGGTTATATGGTTATTTTTAAGAGACAACTATTGTTCTAACAGTGGTGTGTATGGGCAATGACACCCCAGGCAGTAAGGAATAAAAATATCAAACACTCATCAGGACAAGTAGCCAATAAATAATGGCAAAAAAGGTAACAAAACTAACTGGGCATCAATACTACATCCCCAAAGTACTTCCTGGGAATATGAGGGACAGGGGCAGAAACACAGTCAGCCTAGATAGCTGACTAGAAAGCGAGTGTGACTTTCAGGACATTAATAAGCCACTCAAATAAATTACATACTTATCTCCAGTCTTATTTGTGGCTTAAGGAGTAGCCATGAAAACTCTTCAAGGACACAGAAGTCAAAGGAGCACATACAATCACCACATACAATGGTCACTTTTACTCTGCTCCTTAGCTATAAACATATTCCCTTTTGAGCCAAAAGATTCACACACACACACACACACACATACACACACACACACACACACACAACACACACACAAACACACACACATTTAAGCATCTAAGTTGTAGGCAAAAAAGAATTGGAAAGCTTGGAATTTTGGAGGAGAAAACACACACAAATATCCTGCCTTTGGTTAATGAATACTATCTTCTGAACATTCCAAGAACACCACAATGGGAATCAATGTGTTCACACATACTGCTGGCTGGTCTGAGATATTCCTCAAAGTAATAAGACACTAAGAAATGATTTCCAGAATAACTACAAACAGTTTCTGAGCTAAAGGAAGATATAATAATCAATTTAAATTCAGAGTAAAAGTCATACATACCTGAAAACTTCTTCTGGTGTAGGTATTTAAAATAATCACACTTTCCTTGCTTTCAGAAAGTTTCTCAGTTAAAATTCTACTTGTCTGAATACTCTGTGATAAAAAGATTAAATGATGTATTAAATAATGTTATGAAATATTTTCAACATTTATACTCACTGCTATTTCACTGAACAACATTGTTAGCAAAATAATAAAAGACTTGTAGTAAAAGAATTACTTCCAGTGGTTCATGAGCGTCCAAAAAAAAAAAAGAAAGAAAGAAAACTTCTTGTTAACGCAAAACCCATAATGCAGGTCAAGCCTTTAGTCAAATGGGAATGTGCACTTGATTTCTGTAATATTAATTCTTAGAGGAGTTATTGATGACATTACAATCTCATAGAGTAGCACTAGACATCTTACATATTAACACCAGAATTATCAAGATCAGTAATTAGGCCTTACTGTCAACAAATCACTTCATTTTCAAGTACAAGTAAGTACACTAAATGTAAACTGGAGTGAAGGTTTTCTTAAATTACTTAAACTTTGAATTCTATCACCCAACTAAGTTACAATGTGTGTGTGTGATACAAAATATGTTCATGAATCTTATAGCCAGTGACTTTGGTATTCAGAAACAACTAGAAGACCTAAATTTGATAAGCTGACAGTTTCGTGTTTAGCTGAAGCGTGCTATTCTTTATTTATCTGATGAAGTTCTAACCTTACAGTTGAAAAATACTGAAATTTAAAAATCAGTTTTTATCCAGTGCATCAGATGTCAGTGAGGAGGCCTTGACACTCTATGGGGCTTCTGGTAGTATATCAGTATCCCTGGCATATGAAAAGACTTTGGGAGCCCATCCCACATGGAGGGATGCTCTGTCAGTCTGGACACATGGGGGAGGGCCTAGGCCCTGCCCAGGATGATATGACAGACTTTGGGGATCCCCCATGGAGGACTTACTCTCCCTGGGGAGCAGAGGGGAGATGGGGTTGGTGTGGGCGGGGGAGGAGGGGAGGAAGAGGGAGCAAGGATTGACATGTGAAGCAGGCTTGTTTCTAGTTTGAACTAATAAATAAATAATTCAGTTTTTAAAAGTAGTATGCTATTATCATTGAAAATTTTAAAAGCTAAGGCAATTTAGGAATTGGCATTGAATTTTGCTCATGCTTTCATACTGTATTCTTAGAGCAGTGGTTCTCAACCTGTGAGTCGAAACCCCTTTGGGGGTTGAACTGTCCTTTTACAGTGGTCTCCTAAGTTCATCAGAAAATACAGATATTTACATTATAATTCATAACAGTAGCAAAATTACAGTTATAAAGTAGCAACAAAAAATAATTTTATGGCTGAGGTCACCACAACATGAGGAACTGTATTAAAGGGTCACAGCGTTAGGAAGACAGAGAACCACCGTTTTAGGGTTTCTATTGTCATGATGAAACAACCTAACCAAAATTAACTTGGGGAGGAGAGTGTTTATTATACTTACACATCTCTGTTCATCATCAAAGACAGGAACTCAAGCAGGGCAGTAACCTGGAAGCAGGAGTTGAGGTAGACACCATGGAGGAGTGCTGCTTACTGGCTTGCTCCTCATGGCTTGCTTACCCTGCTTTCTTATAGAACTCAAAACGACCAGTCCAGAGTTGGCCCCACCCACAATGGATGGGGCCCTCCCCAATCAATCACTAATTAAGAAAATGCCCTACAGGTTTGCCTGCCTATAATTGGATCTTATGGGGCATTTTCTGGATTGAGATTCCTTTCTCTGAGATGAATTTAGCTTGTATCAAGTTAACATAAAACTAGACAGGACAGTATATTTTTACAAAACAGCTGTAGTAAAATAATAGGCAAAAAAATTACTAGTCATAGCAGAAAGTCACTCAGAGACTACTATTCTTCAAAGACTGCCTGATATGGAAAAGAATTCTCAACAGAGGAATCTAAAATGGCTGAAAGACACTTAAGAAAGTGCTCAACATGCAATATAGATGACTTTTAATAAAATACACCCCTCATTCCCTCAGTCCATTCCTCCTTATCCCCCCCCCCACACACACACACATTTCCCTCCCAATCTGATGTGGGTTTTTTGGTTTTCGGTTTTTGTTTTTTGAGACAGTGTTTCTCTGTGTTGGCTTCCAACTCACAGAGATCTACCTGCCTCTGCCTCCCGAGTGCTGAGATTAAAGGTGTGAGCCATCACCACTTGGCTGTGTTTTGTTTTTTAAAAGCCACTGAATCCACTTAGTGCTGTCTTTATGTACATAGGTGAAGGTCCCGATATTGGAGCATATATGTAGCCTTTTTTGTAAAACATCTCTAAAGAAAACTGACTCACCCCATCGGTAGTGGAGTAGAAGGGTGGGGCTTCATTAACCCTCCCCCTATTCCAGGCTGATATTTTGGCTGATTTGATCATACTTAGGTCTTGAGCATATAGTCATAAACACTATAACTGCATGTATACAATGCCCCTGGCATACTCAACAAATTTTGAGATGAAGCAGTGACTTAAAATTGCTCAAATTACAAAATCCCACAGACAGATGGATTTAGTTCAGAATTCTACTAGAGCTTCAAAAAAGAATTAAGTATCTTATTCTGCGAAATGAGGACATGCTTAGAAAACTGAGACATCATGGACATCTGGCAGACATTTTAGTGTCAACCTGAGAGAAAACGTGGCAGGTGCTTGGTGATAAGCAGGACCTGGAGGGATTCCCAAATGAGCCTGTGCCAACGGGACATGTGGCCATGTGCTCTCCTCTACCATTCTGGCTACCCTTCTAGACTGGTCTGAAAGAAAGTTTGCTTTTCCACCAAAGTGTAAGAGATGTTCCATCTGGTTTTCTAGGGGAACTATAACGTCTTAATTGTGAGGCACATATCAACAATACTACTATCCCTGCCAGCAAATTTAATAGGGATTCTTAATTATTACCTAAAATTTGAGAAGGGATGTTCATTGTCTTCATGTACTAAAAAAATACATGAAAATACCATGAGGAGTCTCTACACAACCTGCATGACTTTATAACTTGAAACCTCAAATAAAATACTCTTCTCAAAAGAAAGCAGGTTACTTTAATCTACCTGCATTAAGTATATAATTTAAAGAAGTACATTAGTCATAGTTATAGCTTATAACTATAAGAATTTGATAAAATATAAGGATACATTCATATACATATATAATGATACAAGTGAAATTATTTACATCTATATTTCATCTCTGTCGTACCATCCAATCAATCCTGACCATGCCAACAACTTTGTGACAAGTTATATAACAACTGTCCTGAAAATTTTATGTCAGAAGCAAATTATACAAGCTTATTATTAAATAACAGCAAAAATGATATAGAAAATGCATTCATTACCTCATATTGTGGATATAAAGTTTCTCTCATGGTTGATTCTGGAATGGAGAATTTTGGTGCAGTAAGATTCCAAAACATCTTTGAAGCTCCAGGATATGCAGGCACCTTTGAAAATATTATAAAAAATTAAGACAAATAGTAACAAAGGTCCTCTGAATTTAGAAGCTCCAAGATTATAGTGATATTTATTATTTATTAAATCTCAACTGAGGATTCAGAAAGCAAAGTCAGCCACAAGTCTTAGAAACCAGGCACACACCATTAATCCCAGTAGCCAGAAGCTAGGAGGTGGTGGTACACACCTTTAATCCTAGGAGTCAGAATTAAGAGATAGATGGATCTCTGTGAATCTAAGGTCACCCAGATCTACACAAGAGTGAACCAATCTGAAAGAGAATTGTAGCTCAGACTTTTAATCCCAACATTAGGGAAACATGTAAGACAGAAGCAAGGTCTCAGTAGAGGCATTCATTCTCCAGCCACGCTGAGGAGAGGTTACAGCCTGAGGCTTAGTGAGAGCTCATGGAGACAGGATCAGCCCATACAACCTGAGGCAGAGGTAAGAAGCTAGTGGCCAGCTGTTTTGCTTTTCTGATATTCAGCTTGAAGTGTGAGCCCCAATATTTGTCTCTGGGTCTTTTATTTTCCGTGTTACACAATCTCCTGTCAAATTGTTTCTAGTTGTTGAGAAAATGGCCTGATTCGTCACACAGACTCTGAAAGCCAAGGGAAGATGACTTGGTACACGGTCAGCTTAAAGGAAGACAAAGCCATCAGTGTTAAGTGCTGCTATGATGTGAGGCACTGGTGAGCCACTCTGGAAGCAAACTCACCAGTCAGTGAAAGAGAAGTCATGTATACATGCCACCTTTTCAGCAGTTTCACTTCTTGCTATGTGTTCTAAACAAGTTCATATGTACATACATGGGGAGATAGGTATAGGCCATTCACAGAGCACATTAAATGAGGAATTAAAGCCTAATTTAAGTGTTCCTTAGGAAAGAAACAGACAGCATTATAAACATTACATAAAAGCATTTATAAATCCATTCAGACACAACAATTATAATCTATAGATGGGACTAACATAGTATTGCAAATAATCATTTCAAAAATTATTATTTATATAAATGAACTAGAACACATAAATACACAAAGATATTACTTAGGATCATAAAGACATCGAGTAAAGTATTAAACTAAGAAGGGCTTTGTTTTAGAAAAATAAAACTATTGTGGATGCTATCAGAATGTAGCTCCATGATGTTATGTATTTGTTAAAACTTACTGAACTTTGAAGAACAAAGGCTGGTATGTAACATCAGGCAAAGCAAAATATTTAGGAAGCAAAGAGGAATCCAGGGTGGAATGCAAAAAAAAAAATGATGCAGAATGTAATTTGCCAAGTGAGTAAATTAAGAAACAAATTCCAGTTTTCTTGCTATATTTAGGTGTTGGGGACTGTAATTACAGGAAGCATGTGGCTGTAATCCCAGCACTCCAGGAGATCAAGGCAGAAGGATCAGCAGGTAGAAGCCAACCTAACCTGGACTATACAGCAAGTCAATGCTTCAAGAAACAAAGTGGCTACACTTTTATAAAAGTGTACTTATGGAATCTCATTTGACACCTGTGGTTTTATTCTTTTAATAAATATTTAACATTTAGTGATTCAAGTTTTAAAGTTGTAAAAGTTCAAAGACAGAGTTCACATTAACAAATATTGAGGTCTTCAATAATGTTCAAGAATGCCCAAAGAGTCCAAACCAAAAGTATAAGAACACATGAGGTAGAAAAAGCTAATATTAAAGGAAATTCTTACTTCTTCTCCTAAGAGCTGCAGGTTTGGAGTGTGAGCTTGACATTGCCTTGTCTGCATTGATTCCGGGAATTCCTCTGGTGGTGGTGAAGGAACACTGACATATTTCTGTGTCTCACTCTTAACAGGAACGCCATTCAGTATTCTACAATGTGACAAAAATAATAAACTTGTTTTAAAGTTATGGATAATGCAACAAGGATCATCCTCTTTTCACTTATCTCTGTACTGACATTTAATATCTGCACTATGTAGATTATGGAGAAGTCAATTCAAAATTTTAAAGAAACTTGTTCTAAACACAATTGATTTGTAATCTTTGTGATGCTTTTGATTCATTGCATGGGAAAAGTAAGTTCACTTTATAAATTTGTAACAAAAAAGACATTAAAAACTTTATTTTGGGGCTAGAGAGATGATTAAGAATACCGGCTGCTCTTCTATGGGACCTGAGTTCAAGTCCCAGAACCCACATGGCAGCTCTTCCAGGGGATATAAAAACCTCTTCTGGTCTCTGCAGGCACCAGACATACATTACAGACATACATGTAGGCACAACACCCATATGTAATAATAATAATAATAATAATAATAATAATAATAATAATTTTAAAAACTTATTTCTAACTTTCTTCTCCACTTCAAATTCATAACCAAGTATCATGTCATAGAATGGGGCCAAAACGCCAACCTAAGTAGAATTGCCAACAAACTTCTAGTTTTTCCTTTTGGACTTGCATCTTGCTAAACTGAAAATGCTCAGCATCAGATCTTTCCTCAGTAGACAACACAGCCTTATAGCTAAGAATGTATATAGTATACATGCATACATAGTATAAAATTTAACTTTGAAGGCACAGTATATCAATAATAAATGACTTAAGAGACTTCTTAATAGTTAATGTTCTATTGTAAACATGCTGTAATAACTATAAAATAAACATAAATCAGGTTTGTTCAGATTGAAGCAATGTCAATCACACATGATTGACACACTTTGATTTTGATTTTCTAACATTCCACTAAAGGCACATAAAACAGTCAAGGCTAAACATACACAAACCTGATTGACTTGCTATTTTGTAATATTCTGAACTCTCAAAGCCCATCTTACCAGATTTCCATGAGGAAAGCCACCTCTTACCTCACCTATTTAAATATCTGGTTGCACAGAGAAATTATTACTCGCTCCCTGCAAGCTGAATACACAGATACCCAGTCCTCCTGATGGTGGTGAGGATGGTGAATAAGAACTCGCCTGCAGCTGGTGCATTCCAGATGGGACTTGGGATCCCTCTACAGGTGCACTCACACGTGTACCATTTAAAGGAAGAAGGTTCTGGGGTTTCTGATGGCAAGCACAGTCAGGACACGCCAAGTTCTCCCACAGTAGAGTTCCAAAGTTGCTGCTTTTGTCAGTTGTCATTGTTTATTTGGCCAGTGAGGATATCAAATAAGAATGAAAATCTGGGACAGTCAAAGACAATTGATTCCCTGACTCTTAACTAAGGGGCTGTGTGACCAGAAAGGGCTTCTGGTGCTCAGCTCTCCTGAGACAGGAGGAGAGGCTCCCTCAGCAGCCAGTTCAATAGCTGTGTGGGTTTTCTGAAAATCTTCTCATTTTTTTTCAAGTCCTCCACTAAACATCAGTTGCTCAATTTCTCAATTCTGCTTCACTTCAAATAACTAAAAGTATTTCTGTTTTCTGCCACTCAGTCTTGACTGGTAGGTAGGTCTGGAAAATAACAAATTTGGGGCTAGAGACTAAGATAATGAGCCTAGAATCTAAAGACATCGAGATAATGTCGTTTTAACCTCGGACAGTGGGGAAGGTGACAGTGGTCAGGGGAGGGGTGACATCATAGCTGCCTCACAGCACTGCTGTTCTTTTCTTTAACTAGAAGCCATAAATAGGGTAGCAACCATCAGTTTTCAGTTTCCAAAAGCACTACTCTGTGTTAGTTGGTCAAAAGAATGGGGAGAAGGTATTTACATTCTACAGTGCCAACTCAAGCAAACATGCCCAGAGCCTTAGGAGAATGGCCATTCAAGGTTCACAACAGTTCCTATGTGACAGAGATGAGTCGGTTATTTGTAAATTTCTCTCTTCATTTTCCCTGTTGGCTTACTTCTAGAGAAGACAATCCAACCTTCCCAAAGTCCTCATCTTTGGGAAACATCTGACTTAGGAGTTCAGATGGAAAGTCTCCTGACCTCCCAGCGTGCCCTCACGTCCAACAGCAGCCGCCCATTCTGTTCATTCTCTCCAGTGTCTCTCCTGTCCATCACAGCTCCTCTCATCGGAGTCCTGCGCCATCATTTTTTCTGGTCCTTTTCCTCCAGACTCCCCCTTCTATAATTCATGTTACAGATCTATGACAGAGTTTGTGTCAATCATTTCCTCTCCAAACGCTCCTATGATTAATATACAATAGGGCCTAAACTACAGCACCTTGCAGCCAGGCTCCTCCACACCACGGAGTCCATTCCGTCTTGTCAACCCTACTTCACTTTCCCAATCCTCCATTCAACCCACATATAATATGAAAAAAGCAAAGTAGGTACTGGATACTTGGTACTGAAGCAGGCGAACCAATCTGCAATTGTAGTAACTGGGGTTCTGAAAATGACAACAGCAAGGGCCAAAATCTTAAACTCTTCCAAAACCTTTACCAATCTCCCTCCATTCCATCAATCTTCTGTGTTTCATCTGCTCTTTCATTATAGAATACACTTCATCTTGTCTTATTTTTTTCTCATAATGGAAAATAACAAGAGGATGGGGAGAGGACGACTCTGATCATCTGTTTCCCAAGGACTTGGATGTAGTAGTTATGATAGAAATGGTAAACTCGGGCTAAGTAAAAAGAGTCTCACAGAAAAAGGTGGATCCTGAAAAATCAAACCCAGCATGGGATGCTGTAGTGGTTCCATGTGGGGAATCTCTAATCATCACAAGCATTTTATATGTACTTGCTAAAACTGCAAATCATTGACACTCACCATACACCTAATGGATAAGAAACTGGGGATGCATTTTCCCCATCCCTGCAACTGATTCTGATACTGTTTGAGAACGTCTGATTACCACTAGCTTTTCTAAAACAGCTTGGTCATAAGAAGTCTTGAGGTGACTATCAAATATACAACTTCCTCCCCTTCTCTGGAGATTCTGATACAGTAGGCTTAGGAATTGATATACTACCTAAGCCCACTAAACGGACTGTATGCTCAAGTGAGTCTAAATACTGGCTGGAGAGATGGCTCAGTGGTTAAGAATGCTGACTGCTCTTTCAGAGGTCCTGAGTTCAATCCCCAGCGACAACATGGTGACTCAAAACCATCTATAATTGATGTTCTCTTTCAGGCAGGAATCCATGCAAATAGAGCACTCATATACATAAATAAACAAATCTTACAAAAAGAAAGTCTAAATATCACTGGCATTGTGGGAAGACTGAGACTCTATAATGAGGCCCTAGCCTGAATTTTAACCCTAAATTGGCCACTTGCTATTATGTAAAGGTTATGACTTGAATATTATTTGTATTCACCAAAACTCATGTTGAGTCTTGTTCCCAAAATTAGTGAAATTGAGAAGTAGAGACTAATGAGAGGAGTTTGTGTCATGTTGAATGAATCAATACTATTTTTACATGAAGGAGTTCGCTCTGATGGGTGAGAATTAATTCATCTTCATTTCTGTTTTTCTCATGGATTGTGCAAGCATGAGTCCCTAACCATATATGCAGCTGACCACTCTGGAACTTCTAAGACTCCAGTATAAATCTGGTTGCTGGGTTGATTTTTAGTAAATTACCATGTCTTGAGCATTCTGTTAGACAACACAAAACAGACTAAGACACTTGAGTAGTAGACACTAATACATTTCCTTCCTTAATCTGTTCCCTCCTTTGTAAATAGCAACACTGATTGGTTCTTATATCTATTGCTTAGGAATAATATATGCAATGGGTGCTTCAAATTGTACATGTTCAGAAAATGGCTGAAATTATAATCCATATTGTTTCTATCAAGGAAGAGGCTAAAAGAACAAAACAATCCTTTCTCTCCAAAAGTAAAAGTTACACTTTTTTCAAAGTCCACATCAGTCTATCATTAGACCAGGGTATATTCCTTACTGTGAATTGCTGTCAGAACTCAGAGAACCTGTGATCTAAGTTGTGAGAACACTTCTCTCAGTTGTATGTAAGCAACTGTGAACCCCATCCTAGGAAGCATGGTGGTGTCTCTCTCTGACAGCCTCCTCTGCCTTAGGAGGACACTACATCACAGCAGCTTAAGAGAGTTTACCTTGCTACAAGGTAAACATACAAAATCTGAGGGAAAGCTCTCAGGAACCCACTGTCACTTTCAGGTAATTCACAGAGTATGTGCATAGAAAAACTACAGATATTCACTTACAAAAGGTTTACCAAGGTACCATTTATATGCAATAGGCTGCTCTATATACAATTTTCAAGTCATTCATAGTTAACCACTAAACTAATTTTCACAACCCGTTTATAGGGTTTCACTCCACAGTCTATAAAATTGTAACTTATAGAGGTTGTTTAAAAAAAAAAGAAGAAGAAGAAGAAGAAGAAGAAGAAGAAGAAGAAGAAGAAGAAGAAGAAGAAGAAGAAGAAGAAGAAGAAGCCTAGGACTGGAGAAACTTTCCAAGCTCATCTTTTTGGATGCTAAGCTACACACCTTTGTTTATCCTTGTGTAATTTTTCCTTAAAATCTTTAGCAGAAGGAGATGAAGACTGGAGAAACTTTCCAAGCTCATCCTTTTGGATGCTAAGCTACACACCTTTGTTTATCCTTGTGTAATTTTTCCTTAAAATCTTTAGCAGAAGGAGATGAATATAGTGAATGCTTTTTTGAAAGCAAGGAATAGAGAATCTCAAAATTCTGAGCCTGTAGAAAAATGTATGTGCAACTGTACAGCATTTTATTTTTGGAAAATACGATTGGGGGTTTTTACGTTTTAACCACTAAAAGTTCGTTGCTACATGCAAACAGTGACATCTGGTGGAATGATACTGTTTTACTTTTTTTAAAAAAAATAAAATATAGCTTTTACAAATCTGTAAAAGTTAGAAAGTTATGGGGAAAGATTTCAAATAATTTATTTTTTAT